CAGATATATTATGTAGAAATACTTTATATAGATATACAGATATATGATGTAGAAATACTTTATATAGATATACAGATATATGATGTAGAAGGACTCTATATAGATATACAGATATATGATGTAGAAGGACTCTATATAGATATACAGATATATGATGTAGAAGGACTATATAGATATACAGATATATGGTGTAAAATGATATATAAACAAGTTTCATCATCATTGAAGATACCAATATACACCAGAAAGTGTTTATTAGAATATTAATAAATCTAATCGAGAAAGACACCAATAAAACATAACCATTCAGACAAAGTAGAGCAGTTGTTTAATTGTTTGATATTTAAAGTATTGTATCTATACAAACATTATTAAATTTTTAATAGAATCAATTCATAACTTACAATGGCCAGCCTTCAAATGTAGACACTGTACATAGACTGAGCATGCCTTGGGCTACATCATCAAAGTGAAATTTGTATTTTGTCCACTGTCTTTCCTCCACTACAGGGCTCCTAACGTCCCCGCCTTGAAATATGACAAATTCTCCTCTGAAAGTTAGAATAATTCTTTAACTAACTGAATAGTTTTATATTTTGGTTTCAGATTACATGGTGAAAGTTGAATTAAAAAGGAACTACTTTCTGTTCCTAATTACGAAGTTTGAAATGATGTTATGTTTTTTTACCAGTTTACCATTACTTTAATATATTATACCAAGAAATACAAAAGAAAATTAAATAACTAAGAAGTAGTACACCTTGTTTTTAAACAGAACAGTACACCTTATTTTATAAACAATACCGTACACCTTGTTTTTTAAGTAGAACAGTACACCCTATTTTATAAACAATATATTACATATTGTTTTTAAACGGTACAGTACACCTTGTTTTTTAAACAGTGCAGTACACCTTGTTGTCAAACAGTACAGTACACCTTGTTTTTAAACAGTACAGAAAATAATGTTTTTAAACAGCGCAGTACATATTGTTTTCTAACAGTACAGCACACTATGATTTTTAAAGTACATCAGGCCTTGTTTTCCAACACTACAGTACACCTTCTTTTTTAAACAGTATAATACACTTTGTTTTTAAACAGTACAGTACGTTACACCCTGTTTTTAAACAGTATGGTACTCCTTGTTTTCTTAAAGAAATCAGTACACTCCAATTTCTAAACATAGCAGTACCTATTGATTTTTGAAAAAAACAGTATATCTTGTTTTGAAAGAGAGCAGCAGCATATATTGTTTTATAAAAAAATCAGAGCTGGTTGTTTATAAACAGAGATTGCTAATGTTATGTTTAAAATGAGTAGTACATCTTATTTTTTTAACAAAAGTAGAACACTTTGTTTTTAAAGCAGTACGCCCTGTTTTTTAAACAGCGAAGTAAATTTTTTTTCATACAGACAGTAGATCTTTTTGTAAATATAGTTTATAAAAATGAGTAGTACACTTTTTTGTTAAAAAGATAAGAACCACTTCTTATTTAAAGAGAGCAGAATACTGTTACGACAGCGGAAGTTACATGACGCTGCTGGCGCATGCGTGACTGAATTTCTCGAATTATCGGGGAACTCCGCGAATTTTGGAGAATCCTCTTTGTTAGTATACAAGTCTGGTGAGAAAACCTAGTGGGATTTAATGTATGATAAAGTGAACAGTAGTCACGGTGAGTTTCGGATAATTTACGATTCTGTATCGAGCTAGTGTGTGTTTTACACTCGTAGAGAGTGAACTTATCGAGACTGTGAATCGCTGTGATTTATAGCGTATATTATACAAATTGTTAAGTTTAAAGTGACGAGAAACGTACTGACTGTGAAATTACTGTGTACTAAAAGTTTGTATCGAGAAAGAATAAACTGGTTTAATTAAGAAAATACTTGTATCGCTGAAGTTCCTCGGAATAATTTCTACCGGAAATTAACAAACAAGCAGATACATAACAATACATTGTTTTTAAAAGTAAAACACGCCTGAAATTTAAACATAGAAGTAAACGTTGATTTTTAACTCAAGCAATACACTCATTTTTAAAAACAGATTTGTTTGTTATTGTTTTTTAAACAAAGTAGAACATTTTGGTTTTAAATTTCAAAAAAGAAAATTTTGAAGAAATGAGACAAGAATTTACTGCTGTGAATTGGAAATACTGATCAAATGTGAAAAAAAAATTAAATAAATCCTTAAATATTCATTATAGGCAAGTTCCTTATAGACAAAAAAAATGTAAGAGTGATTGCACATAAAGAAAACGGGTAGGCGTACAAAGGATATATGGGCCAGGCTTTCTTCTGTGTTCATTTTTCAACTGAAAATTGCTGAAAGAAATCTACTCCTATAAGTATGATTTATACAGTTCTTGAAAATATAACTACTGAAAAAACCTTGTACTCCCTTTTGTCTGTGATAATCTTACAGCTGCCGACTTTGTTTACCATACATTCTTAAAATACAAATATGAAACCCATCATCGAAATGCATACCTCTTCTGTATATTAGCAAAAACAGGTGGAGAAATTAATATTGTTACGTATCTGCTTGTTTGTTAATTTCCGGTGGAAATTCTTTCTGAGGAACTTCAGCGATACAAGTCCTTTC